TTGTCATTTATGTTGGAATAAACATTGTAAAGAAATGAAAATATGGCATCGGAAGTGTTTTTTTGCTTTTGGAAACCAAACTGGCAATCACTTATTATTTTGTTTCCATTCAGAAAGCACAGGAGTCTTGTTTTAACTAGTTTTTCTATCAATTTAGCCATTGCAGAGATTAGAGAAATTGGACGAAGACTTGATGGACCATTGATGTTTTCTCCCTTTGGCAGTGCTAACACAATCGACTTCTTCAAAAAAACTGGAAAGATTCCTTCTCTAAATGAATTATTTCAGGCGGCACTTGCATGTGAGTAGACATGTTAGACATCATAAATCTATAACTGATAATTCAGTCAGATTTTACCATAAGTTTGAAATCCTTCTTGGAGTTCAAGCGATGTCAATGCCTAGTCGAATGAAACTACTTGCAGCACCTTTTTTGCTTCTTGATTGCCTTCCAAACCAGTGTAGCCAGGAATACAGATCAGAGAGAATTTGCTAAATCTTTCCAATGAGGAGAATCTCATCATTTCAATAACAACTTGAATGTTGATGAGAGACGCTTATTGGCGCTTATTGACGCTTTTCTTCATGCTCATTGATCTATGTGTAACATTAGTTCCAGCCAATATTTCCACATACAAGCCAATGGAATAGATTTGTCTGAAATATCGTCGCATAGGACCTCAAGTTCGAGATGTATGAACTACTTCAAATCAGCCTCAACTTTACTATCTCATACCTACGAGTATAAATAGGTGTTATTAGAAAATAATATGAAGCCTAGAAGCTATCATTCATCCCAGAGACGAAACAGCATAATCACATTGAATATTAATATTCATTCTGCGTAAGAACAGAGAAGTGAATCTTGACTCATTGACTCACATAGGATATAATAGAAACGTCAACTTCACATGGCCTGATTCTGGTAATACCTGATTTTCGACAAGCTAGGAGGAATTGAACAGCTTGAGCAATTCTTGGGAACTCTTTTGGGGTGATTCTTTCAGCCCCTTTCTGTTCTGCATGTCATTATGTTTATCAGCCTTTGCGATCAGAAGAAAAATTCATGGATACAGCTAAAAGAGGGCGGTAGTGAAACCTTCTCCGGTCTTTTCATATGTTTGATCTGAAACACTTAAGAAGGAGATGAGGTCATGCAGCTCATAGACGGAAACAATCGCCATCACTTTGATGCCGCAGAGTCCTTGTAGTGGAACAACGCCAGTAAAGGTATCTACAGTGAAGAAGTGTCTTCACGGTAAGTTTCAGCACAAACTCCTGCAGATCTGTTCATCGAAAGTGTCGGAGAATAAAGTATCGGGGCTACAAATGAAATTGCTTTCGTTTCCACTCCAGTATACTACTGTTAACAACAGGAAGGTCGTAGACTTTTGGGTTAGTCTTAATAGTTTGTAACTATGATATCGTTATTTTTAAGGTAGCCTCTAACGAGTTTGAATATCATGTTTATAAAATTTATCGTTGAATTGGAGGTAGCTCTGATGCAGGCACACATCGAAAGCTGTTGAAGCTTCAAAGGAAGTGATATGGTTTACTTTGGCTTGATCTATTATGTCCAAAATGAGGGGATTACACTCGTTGTACGGTATGTTGGAGAACATACTCTGAAAATAAATTTGAATTATGTGGCGTGGTTTGGTTCCTTACGTTTTCTACTGAAGTCAGTGAATTTTTAATGCTGTGAGGTGGGACGAAATTGCTAATATTTTTGATCAACTTGTTAAGACGTGTTCCTAGTTCTCTTACCGGACAATTTATATACGAAACTACCGGTCTTATAGGGTTATCGTCTTTATGTGTTCTCATCAGACCATACAGTTTAGGGCAAGAGGGGTTCTTGTTAGTGATTCTCCGTTTCTCCGATTCCGTGAGAATGATTTTAGTATCTAAGAGGGAATTTTTCAGTTCATTTTGACTATTTTTCGTCGGATCTTTCTTGATGACAGTAAGGTTTCCATCTCGAATGACTGACTCAATTTTCTGAACATATGTTTCTCGTTCAAGGATAACGATGGCATTCGATTTATCAGCTTTCGTGACAACAAGATCATTATTTCTCATTTTTTGTAGAATAATTTTTATTATGCCTGTTTCTCTACATTGCGGGTGCAACCTGTTAAATGATCAAATCGATTTAATTTACTCTCCTGTTTTCGAATTGGCACATCCGCATTGTGAACTGTGAATTCAGGTATTCAATCAAGTCAAGTACCTCTATTTCTATTAGTACTTACAGGGATGGTATAAATTGGCGAATGTAATGAATCATTGTTAGTTTATTGTATAAGTTTGAGAATGTCCATATAGGACGAAACTGCAGTAACGTTAGTTACAAATAAAATTGATAAAAAACATAGAAATCATTTCTCTTTTCATTATGATCTCCTACCACGTAGTAACGGCTACATCCATCAATTTAATTCAAAGAATGTTTCTTTGATGAGACACTTCGCCTAAACGAGTTATTCCAAGACATCATAACATTAGTCCGCTATTCATGCATCAATGCCATACACCAGTCCTTCCACAACAATCCACCGAACAGCAGATAACGCATAAACATCTGAAGAATAGAACGTTTCAACAGCAAACATAAACTCCGTAATGTGCACGTTTCATCCTGTTACGAGTCCTAATTGAGATGGATTAAGCTCCGACGTTGATGTTTTGAGCACGCCCAGCGTATACGCACGTCACGAGTTGAACGTGATGTCACGCAATATTCGGGAGGGGTCCCCCACTATGGGAAAAGCTTGATTAATGAAGGCGGACGGTTGGGGTTGTCTTCCAGGTGGATAAGAAAGGCACGTTAATGAAATTGCTGGAAAAATGGGTCAATTATGATGATCCACCCTGAGCAAAAGGATACTTTACTGGAGATTCAGTTTTCTTTTCTGAATAATACCGTGGAAACTGATGTTTCGAATTATATTCAGTGATAACTCCTTCTGATCCCAATCCACAGTTTTCGAAGAAGTCTGAACCATTCCAAAGCTAGGATACCGCAGCTTCAAACGTCTAGGTGTGGACTGCTCTTCATTTTCTCATTTTTCCGATAACATAAGCCTCGTTGAATTTCGTGTCGCCGATTTATCAACAGGGATGTTGGACACCCACTGGTTTTTCTTGATCTACCATATTCATCGTCCATATTCTCCTTTTCCAGCCAGCCACTGGCATGAGCTGCTGCCTCAAATATTGCCCATTGAAAGTCAGGTTGAAAGTTGAAAGTAGCCATGAGTATGAAAAATTGTGACCAGAAAGTGGATGCCTCATATTGATTAACTGATCAACCCGAAAGTAAACCAACGCAACGTTTAGTTCACTTTGATACTATTCAAATATAACCACTGTTGCCTCTTATCCAAATTTGGATGTCTTTGGTAAGAGATCTAGCGAAAAAACATTGGCGTTTTCTTCAATTATGGGAGAAGTACACTCAAATTCGCTTCATTACATTTTCTAAACAATACTAATAACTTCCAATGGCACAAAAATACTTTTGATGGATTGAAAGTGCAGATGGAAATCAAATGAAAGATAACCCGGCAACCGAAAACCATCGCTCCCTCAATCCAGGTTTACTGAACTTTCGTTAGTGTTTTGAAGCCTGCTTTCACAGCCGAGATATCAGTGTATGACTGAAACATCAAGCAAACCATATTTTTCACATAGTCAGAACCGTGCGGAACAATTTCACAAAGGTATATGAAACTAGTCACTTCAAGGACTTGTTTTCCGCGTTGGTCTTGTAGAAAAAGTTGTAGAAAAACTCAGTTATCCCGCTCTTAAAACTAATCACAGTAGAACCACAAGAACTTTAGACTTTCAAATCATTTGCTACGCCTTTCGCTAACCAAGTTAGCAAAACAGAACTGGCTGGTATCTCAATCGCCATGAAAGAAATAACCAGGAAAGGAATTTCTGGCAGCAGACAAACCCTATTAGCCTTGAACAGACAAAGTGTTATCTCAGGGCTAGTACTAGAGTGCCACCAAGAGTTAGCCAAAGCCTCGGTAGCTAATAATACTATCCTGAGGTGGGTTAAAGGACACGACAGGAGTGAAGGTAATCGCATTGCCAACTCTTCAGCCAAGGAAGCGGCTGGACTGAAAATTTCAGGATACATTGGCACCTACGGCCTGATGACTTCGACAATTGCGGAACTAGCCAAATGTTACACCCATGTCCAATCCCTAAAGCGATGTAATGGTATCAAAGGATGCAATCTTGCCAGGATCACCCTGGGCAACCCTGGGAAGCTGGTGCCGAAGAAATATCTGGCGATGGCCAGGAAAAATCTACGCTTAACAGTAGGATTTCTGACTGGCCACTGTCAACTAAGGAAACACCTCCATAATATGGGACTAGTGGACACACCTCTATGCAGGATGTGTGAACAGGAAGATGAGACTGTCAGGCATGTCCTATGCGAGTGCCCGGAGTTATCGTCAATAAGACTTTGTGTTCGGCAAGTCTTGTCCTACACCTGCCGATATGAAAGAGATGTATCCCAGTGACCTGTCCACCTTCCTGGAAAGGACAGGATGGACGATGACCTAGGAGGACAACTCCTCGGAAGGATGTACAATGGGTCACATGTGGCTTAAGTGCTGTGGGCTTACACTCCCCCCCCCTACTCAACAGATACAGATACAGAACCAAGTTAGCATCATCAAGAGATGACTACAACTCAACCTAGCATCATCGCGTCATAGTCATTTGGTATATTCACAAATCACACTGAGGTTGCTGCTGTGTGAAAATCTCTTTCATATATTGGAATTTTATTTTGTACATCTGAAATTTTGTGGAATGTTAATCCAACTCACACTAATCAAAAATGGCAATACCTTCCGATCTAGAGTGTGATAAAATTTCAAAGGTTTTGGTACCAAAGCACAGGATGCGCAGGAAATGTGCGCAATATACCACTGTTTAATATCATAACACGAAACCCTAACGTCGAATGTATATAGGTAATTTTGAAAAAGAAATTCATACAGTAGCTTTTTTTGTAATCTATTCTACATTGTTTACATTTTTTGTACAGTACAGTACAGTACAGTCGTTCCAACTTGATATTTGGTTATAAACTAGAAGACATTTCTAGCAGGAATTCATCGAATGAAAACTTGTGCTCAGAATAATGAATTTGAGATTTGAAGTCGAACTTTCTTGAATCAAATATTCAGCAAATCGTAAACTTGTATTGATAGTGTTACTGACACTGATATGCTTCTTCTCCTGAAAATATCATACACCACATTTTATTTCTCATTTTAGCAGAGCATCCACCATCTTGTCAGCCTGCGTTTTCCAGATGGTCAACCTGTAGCCGAGAATGTGGTTCGGGACTTTCAACTAGACGATCCAATCTCAATCCTCGGTGTCATCCTGATACAGAAACAAGAATATGCCAGATAAGGAGGTGCCTGGAACCCCTACAACTGGATCACCATGAGAAGTATCACCATCTCAGGGTAAGAACAAACTCAACTTTTTCATTCCATCACTCTCTTACCTTACGAATCAAATGTAGCAAATAATATCCAGTGCGAACGTAAGTAGTCCCTCCTCCTAACTTTGAAACGCAATTAAACACTATTATAATATTCAAAAAACACAGAATATGATTTGACAGCCCAACCAGGTGATGGAATAGCAAAATCGGTTTCTCAAAAACACTTCGCTTCGGCTTTTGTGGGTGAACGCATCCGAAACGTCCAATTTTCCGTGACTCCGGCACATAAATCAGGCTGAATTTGAACGATGATACACCTGCGACTTATGAAATCACCACAAAAAACTCTAACGGCATCAAATCGCACGATCTCGGTGGCCAGTTCACATCACCTCCACGTGAGATGACAGTGCCTTCATATCGCTTGTGCTGACTATCCAATATGATTTTCAATTGATGACTTGTTCACTTCATGGTAGTTCATGATCACTTGAATGAAATGAATAAAAATACTTTTGTCTAAATACCACTGGTAGATTTTAGAAGGACATCTAGCCAGACCCGTGGTATCATATATAGATGTCCCAACCAGTAAGTTGTCTAAATTTTTAAATTCAAGATTAAGAGACCTCACAAAATTCAATCCTTCAAACACAGTTCTAAATTCAATAGACCTAGCTGACAAACTATAAAATCTGAGTATCAAAAATATCAAACTAGTATCGTTCGACGTAAAAAACTTGTTTACTAACATCCCAACAGACGGATATCTGTTTAGATGATACACATATTAGATAAGAGTCATAGAAATCCGAATTTTGCTATCTCCTAGATACATGTCTGAAAGAAAATTTCTTCAAATACAATAATGATGTTTACCTGCAAAACTCAGGTGTCTCTATGGGCTCACCATTAAGTCCCATTCTGGCAGATATTTTCATGGACACACTAGAAAACACCCGCATCCTTAATAAATCCCTTTCATAGAAACATATTGTGCTTTGGTTCAGAAATGTTGATGTACTGGTTGGTTTTGATGGTTCAATCAGACAAATTATTCAATTTTTCAACTTTTTCAATAGTCTGCATAACAAAATTAAGTTCACAGTAGAAATCAAACAAAACAAGGAGCTTAACTTCTCAGATTTGAATATTTCAAGAGTTAATAATGGTTTTCAATTCAATATCTACCGGAAAAACACGTTCATAGTCTGTATAGTTCCCTTTGAGTTCCTCTCTTGAATTTATGAGTTTAACAACCCCGAGAATTTTCAAGGTGGAATTTTAAGTTGGCATCCTGATTTGTCAAACTACCTGTCTCTCAAATACCTACCCTTGCAGCATTCCTGAAAATTCTAATAAAACCCATATTTCAAAATTTCAAAGTTCAGTTTTATACTTGATAATGGAGTCAAACCCGAAACCGGTCGTATAGATAAAATCTACCAGTGGTATTTAGACAAAAGTGTTTTTGTTGATTTCATTTAAGGTATCCAATATGACATGAGCTGTGTGTCACATAGCGGCGTCTTGTTGAAACGGTTTGTCGTTGGTGTCGAGATTATCCAACTCAGGCCAAAAAAGTCTATAATCATCGACCTATAGTGCTGGCCGTTGACAATGATGACCTGGCCAAAGTGGTTCTGAAAGAATGGATCTAAGACGCCACAAGTCCAAAATCCACACCAAGCAGTGACTTTTTCGTGATGTATTGGACGCTTTTGGATCTCATGTGGATTAGTATTGTCCAAAACTTGTCAATTTTGTTTGTTCACGTATCTATTCTTGATGATTTTTCTATCAAAATTAGGGTCAGTTGCCAACTATTTCAGAGTCCATTCAGCGAACACACGTCGTTGCCGATGGTCCTTTGTCTTCAGTTCCTGAGTCAGTTGAATAGTATATGGTTGCAGGCCCAAATCAGCTGCCTGGAATTCTCATGCACACTCTCACAGAAAGCAGCGATGTTTTCGGCAAATCTTGCGTTTTGTCGACTCAAATTCATCAACCACATTGCAAATAGTCCTCTCAGTAGGACGATTATGGCGATCGTAAATGGGCGAAGCGCGCGGTACGTTGCCCGAACAGATCACACGTTTTTAATAGAACAATGTTTTTATTTGCATATTATGTTGAATGCTATATCCATCCATGGTGATTTGGCAAAACAGACTGATTAAATAACTAATTGTAACTTCAACAAGTTGGCCATTTTCAATCGTCAAAATGTTCCGATTGCAAGACTCTATACAGTGTGTAACAACGAAAACTCAACAAAGCCGCTTTTGAATATAAAAATCAAGTTTTTTTTGTAGTACGCACCCCCTCGGAGGGGTGCGTCCGACGACCCTTATTTAGATAGGGAAAGTAGGTCGAGTGGCACCTTGTTTTAAAGGTCTTTCGAATACCTTTACANAGAGCTCCGCCCTTAGAGATCCCGCATGTTGCTAGATTATATCTCAGAAATTGCAATGAAATAGAAGAGCAACGCAAAACAAGCGACTTTGATAGCCTGGAATTTCGGTTGAAAGTTGGAGAATTACCATCTTTCTAGGTAAAGTGTCCACTGACTTAATCTACTCAACTACACATTGGTCAATCATTTTTCACATCGTAGTGAATATGAAAAATACTAATAGTGTGATCATCTGGAGAAGTTAGTATCTCCAATAGCAATAAATTGGCCGTTTTGCAACATTGAGAGCAGGGTAGCGAAATCTGGGCCTTCTGGTGTAACATTTCATAACTCCATACGGAAAATGTCCCACTCGCTATGGAAATCAGACCAAAAAGGAGCTCGCTAATAGACAGTCCTGTCTGCATTAAGCTGTGGAAAGTGGGAAGCTCTCCATTATAATTGAAAATTAGATCCTGCTACCTTACTCCGTGGAAAAAACGGGAGATGAGTAATGAATAATTAAATCGTAAATCAAATGTGTCAAGCTATAAAACTCATTTGAGAATTATGGCGCGAGAGAGGCAAGGCGTAGTTCTCAAGTAATTGTGAAATTATTTTGTGATAATCACGTCGAGACACGGTACAAAAAAGGTAATGTTCTCAACTACGGAAGATCTATTGGTTTATGAAGGGATAATTTGTCGTCGCATAAAATTTTGGACGAAATTAGCAGTTTTCGTTGTCTGCCAAGTTTTTGGAAGTCAACCACCGAAGAAACGTTCTGAAATATGAATTAGGAATTGAATGCTCTAGATGACTTTCAAGGAAGTTGTGAATATTTTGATTTATTGACCATGTGGCCAGCAGGTATGTCTAACGTTCGCCTTCAAAGTGGCACTTCGAATAAATCGTTAGTCATGAACCTACAACCACCTAAATTGTATTCGTTGATTAAATTACACAAAGATAACTACCCGATAAGACCGGTAGTTTCCTTAGTCACGGCTCCTTCAGTTAAAATATCCGAAAAACTCATTGCAATTATTCAAAACCACACCAATTTCAAATCAAAATTCAGTATGAGGAATTCATACCATTTGATCAATGAAATTCAAGATATTACACTAATGCTAAATTGATTTCATTCGATGTAAAGTATCTGTTTCCCAGTATCTCTCCGAATGAAACGATTACTCTGGTAGAGAATCTATTGGACAAAAACTCTATCGATCCGGTAGTGAAAAATGAAATATTAGACTTGCTTACGGTGTGTTTGTCACATAATTACTTCCAATTCAATGAAACGTTTTGCTCATCCTACAAAGGTCTCATAATGGGAAACCCATTTAGTCCTATTCTGGCAGACATTTTCTTGAACGATTTGAGGAGAAGAATACAGAGTAACCCACTGGTAAAAAGTTTCGTGCATTGATATAGATATGGGAATGATATACTGGTATGTTTCACGGGAACGAACAGACAGTTAACAAACTTTTTGAAGTTCATCAATTCTCTCCACCCGTCTATCACATTCACAGTGGAGATGGAACAGGACGAATCTATACATTTTTTTGACTTGGCAATAACAAAAGTTAACAACAAACATGATTTTTCAATTTATCGTAAACCGGCACATACATATTATCATTCATAATTCGTCCACTCACCCATATCAGCATAAGGTAGCAGCTTTGAAGGCGTTATTATTGTCGGTGATTAAATATCCTGAAAATTGGTTTTAATGATTGAAAACGGAAGACATTTTGCCTTATCAAAATCAATCGTGAGTAATTCGGAGTCAAACCATTGTTTTATTTTGAGAAAATCGTTCTCGACATAGCCAAACAACTGTTTCTAATTTTCACCAGAATAGAAGACTGCGGTGTCATCCGCGAAACTGATTATGTGGCCTTCTGTATCGACATTGTATAAATCATTCAGGTATATATTGAATGAATTGGGGCCCAATACTGTACCTTGTGCGACCTTCAAATTCCACAGTATGCTGTCAAGTTTTACGCATTGCTTTCTAGATAACATTTCATCAGTTTATATATATTGACTCTCAAATCAAATATATGAATATAAGATAAATACAATAATTGAAAACTTGAAGATCAAGGCATGGCGTTGAGATATTCATGCTGGAGGTTCCAATTGAACATATCAACTACTACTTCATGTATTGAACATGATTTGCAAAAATACTGCTGAAATTTCATGCAATGTTATTACAAAAAAAGGAATAACATGCTTTCTTTCTGGTATCCAAATCTGAAACTGTGCAAAACATCCGTCGCTCCAACTTAATCCCCGGCCTTATTCACAAAATCCGCCATTTCCAGCGAAACCATCGTCCCCCTAAACATAGTCCCTTCCCAGCCCGACTTCTGAAACAACAACTGCTCTCCACAATATTTTCCAGTACTTTATGCAAATTCGCATTGTTTCAGAGAGGCCACGAATGTAAGGCGACACATCGTCTCAGCTCCGCGGTTTTCCTGCGATTCGGGCCGTGCAGGAGCAGAAAGCGTTTCCGACCCAAATACTGCGGAGTTTGTCCCGTGCCTGGAATTTCCTGCAAACCGACGCTGAGCACCACGGTGAAAGTCGAATTCTTTTGCGAAGGTAAGAGGTTGAATCGTGTTGAATCGTGAAGCTGTTGGTCATCTACCAACTACTTCAATTTGGATGAGTTTTTTACGGTATGGTCCTTCGAGCCGGATACAATCTGATATCACGAAATAACTCAACTTCAATATCGAAATGCATGGAAACTTCTTTGAAAAAACGTTTACGAGTAGTACAAAAACTCTATAGTGACTCATGAGAAAATTAAAAAACGCAAATCAATTTATCATTCGCTTTTAATAATATCTTATGAATCTGCTGCATCCATTATTAAAATCATTATTCAATCAGATGAATTCGAGTAGATGAATTAATGTATATATTGGTTATCATGTAGATCATAGAGATTACGATAATATATAATTGGTAAGTGAATAGATAAAAATTTGGAGTATCGTGGTGGAAAATACAGTATTTAACTAAGTTGTTCCAAGCACCAGGAGTAGGTCGTACAAACGTTTTCAGAATTCTTTTTCGACACAAATTCCTGTTTTACAAAAAAAAGATTCAAGGAATTGAACGAAGATGATTCCGATAGAAGAGTTGATTTTCATGAGATACTCGTTAGGCATAAATTTTTCGTGAAAGCCACAGATATAAATTCAAAAACTGAACTGGAAATAATAAGTTTACTGTAGCCATATTCCTTGACCTCAAAAGAGCATTCGAGACCAGTGATAGGTCTATACTACTAGCTAAATTGTATTTATATGGAATAGAGGGCACAGTATACAATTGGTTATCTAATTCACAACACAACAAAAAAATATTTTTTGAATGTTTCCTACACTAAATTAGTCAATTTCTACTAATTTTGGGGTGATAAAAACGAAAATAACAATGAAAAATTTTTATTAGCTCTGGTTTTTGAGATACACAGTACTTAATCTTAAAGAGTAGTTATACTATACGTGAAAAGTGAAAGTACATAAAACAATANTGTGCAATGTATTTCGTTTAGAAGATTCTTCGGAAGTAACTTACTATATCCGATAAACTGAAATTATTTTCATTTGGTATGGGTTACAATCTACAGAATAGCTTTTGTTCAAGTTTAGTTATATGTAATGATGATACGAAAAAGTATTATTCGATGTTGGAACAGTAATGAAACAGTTGAAATGTAATCAAAATTCGCCCATCTCTGAACTTGTTCAAAAACAAACTGAAGAAATTTTTTTCCAATGTACAAATATAATATGTATTATGGGTCTGTTACCTGGAGCTACAATTTTCTTTCTTAAGATATTATCATGCATATCTTATTGATCAACTCAAGAATGTATTCATTTAATGTTTGTCATATATTTTTTAAATAATTCCAAAAACATCAGAGATATATGTAAACTAGGATTTTCCTATTTCAAATAAAGATTACTACTATTATTATTGTTGAAAACCTTTTTCCAGGATCGGAACCCAACGAAAACGTCTCCGATCTCCTCCCGGAGTATTTGGAGCCTGGTGCAGACCTCTGGGCAGACAATTTCCTACCGGACCAAGACGTATCAGAAGATTCCAGACTCATGACTGTCCTGGTGCAGTGGGTGTTGAAATGCCAGTGCACGCCGGAGGAATCCGCAGCTACTTCTAGTACCGGAGAAGTGATTTTGCATCGGGTGCATCGGACTGCTACGCCTTAAGCAGATATGTTCTGGTGTAAATACGATTTGTCATATCATATTTTATAGCGTCAGAATTATAGCTCGATTGGGTCCAGATAAATAAACACCTGTATTGTAAGGTGCCCCAAAAAATTTGGTGATTGTAAAGATACGATACTGTTTAGTATTTTCCATAGAAAACACATATTTACAGGATTTTAGTTCCAGTTTCTATGAGAGGTCGTACTAAGGGAGATAAATCTGTTTAAAAAAATCTGTTTTTTCCGTTAATCAGCTGTTGGCCCCATACGAACGACAACTCTCCAAAGTTGAGAAACTTGTGCGAGCTAAGGACTAACGAGGTCTTACCTTTTAACGTGTGATTGCTAACACGGTTGCAGAATCATCCCAGCTCCAACCAGATAAATTATCTCGGGAAAAATAGCTGGTCAAGGCGGGAATCGAACCCACGGCCTTCCGATCGTGAGTCGGGCGCGCTACCACCGCGGTCAATTCCACAATTCATGTGTGGACTTTTCCATGAATTCTGTAGTGAAAATTGATTCA